GTTTCAGGATGAAGTATTATGGAACAAGTAAAGAGACTTGCCGGTAATGAGATTGAACTGGGTATTGAGATACCGACGATCGAATCTCGGACAAGTAACATATCGATGACAAAGGGAACAACGTATGTTGTTATGCGGTTTGAACAATAAAGATCTTCGTAGAATATGTAGGAACCAATATGAGCATCAAGGTTCTGCTATTAGTTATTGACCACAGACGTGTCTCGGTCATGTCTACATAGTTCTCGAACCCGTAGGGTCCGCACGCTTAACGTTCGATGACGATTGGTATTATGAGCTTATGTGTTTTGATGTACTGAAGATTGTTCGGAGTCCCGGATGTGATCACGGACATGACGAGGAGTCTCGAAATGTTTGATACATAAAGGTTGATATATTGTACGACTATATTCGGACACCAGAAGTGTTCCGGAAAAGTTTCGGATAAAACTGGAGTGCCGGGGGGTTACCGGAACCCCCCGGGGAGTGTATGTGCCTTATTGGGCCTTAGTGGGAGAGAGGAGGAGGAGGCCAGGTGGAGCCCCCCCCCCCCCAAGCCTAATCTGAATAGGGTGGGCCCCCCTTCCCTCTCTCTCCCCCTTCCTTCCTCTCCAACTCCATCTAGGGAAGGGGGAATCCTACTCCCACCGGGAGTAGCTAGGACTCCCCCCTTGGGCGCGCCATGAGAGGGCCGACCCTCCCGCTTCTCCACTCCTTTATATACGGGGGAGGGGGACACCCCATAGACACACAAGTTGATTGTTTAGCCTTCTCTGGTGCCCCCCTCCACAGTTACACACCTCGGTCATATCGTCCTAGAGCTTAAGCGAAGCCCTGCGTCGGTAACTTCATCATCATGTCACCACGCCGTCGTGCTGACGAAACTCTCCCTCGATCTCAGCTGGATCTAGAGTTCTCGGGACGTCATCGAGATGAACGCGTGCAGATCGCGGAGGTGCCGTACCTTCGGTGCTAGGATCGGTCGGATTGTGAAGACGTGCGACTACATCAACCGCGTTGTCATAATGCTTCAGCTTTCGGTCTATGAGGGTACGTAGACAACACTCTCCCCTCTCGTTGCTATGCATCACCTAGAGATGGATCTTGTGTGCTTGTAGGAAATTTTTTAAATTACTGCGTTCCCCAACACTTATCATAAGGAGTTCGACCACAAATAAAGAGTAGGACGTTTTGGTGACCTGGCTCCTTGGAGCCCTTTATTTTTGAAAAAAAAAATCAAAATTTAAAAATTTTGGTTTCAAAAAAATCTGATAAAATATGCAAGTATACAGTATGAAATGTATATGTATGTAAAAATTCAAGATGAAATACCCTAAACACAGCTACTTGTATAAAAAATACAAAATTCAAGGACTTGTATGAATAGTATAATGTGCTGAAAAGCCCTTTTTTGCACAACCATCATTTCAACGTATTTCGTTCTGAAAATTTACACACATATACATTATTCCTCCACATATATCTGTCTATTTTTTCTAAAATTTTTGAAACATAAAAAAATGAATTTTGTAAAGGAAGGCCTTCATGAAGCTCAGTCTCTCCAAAATCAATTTTAGGCAAACGCACTGCTACATACCAATGACCGCATTTTTTTAGAAAAGGATGAAGACACCCGGCCTCTGCATCTGGACGATGCATATGGCCAATTTATTAATTATTAACACAAGACCTTACAAGGTAATAAAACAGTAAGACTAAAGCCACCGTATAAGCAATATTTGTCGCTACTCCTATCCAGTTGATGAAGGGGCGCTGATGGTCTGGGCCTAATACCAAACAGACCTCGTAGCCAAACCTAACGTCTAAGACCTGAGGTCCCAACCAGGACGCCTGCCGGATATGGGCACCCACTAGTCCGGCGTGCTCATCAACTAGGACGCTTGCCGGGTATGACGTTGCCGCAGCCACCTGCTACCAATTCATCTTCAGAGCTGTACTGCTGCATCAACCTTGCCCGGTCTAGCTGCGCCGACGCCACCACCAATTCAGACAGCGTCGACCTCCTGCGCGTGTCCATGGCCACACATCTGTCGCCAAGCCTACACTGCTCCATGCCGCCAAGAACCGCCGCCATGAATATGTAGAGAGAGACACCGCTCCACCGAAGAAGCCATCCACTGGTCCCCCGAGCCCGAGTGCATCTCAAAGAATGCTGCCCCCAAGGTGGTAACGACACATGATTGCCGCCGTCATCCGATCAACCGATCTAGGGTTTCCCCCGGAGATATTGGGTGGGGTTGGGAGCTTCTCCTCGATGATGCCTTAATGAAGGAAACGATGATAAGGGCATCGTCATCATCGGCTCCGTCCAACGATCGAATACCAAGTTTTCACCCGGATCCGTCGCAAGAAATCCACCCGACAACCAATGCACTATCTCGACCGCCTTCAAAGCCCCAGATCTAGCCGCCTAGATCCGGCGACCATCCGTAACAGCAGTGCCACCGTAGGATCCCTAGCGCACCGGCCACTGCCTGAGTGTGCCACCACTGGAGCCTGGGAGGAGGGCTCCCACCCACCTCGCCAAACCGCGAGAGCGCCGAGATGAATCCCGCACGCTCGTCACTGTCTCTGATCTGGACCAATCTGTAGCAAAAACCACGAGATCGCGGACGCAGATCGCCTTGGATAGGGACCGCAACACGTACGCCATGCCACCGCGGGAAGCCCGAGATTCACCCGCCACCACCTTCTAGGGCCGCCGCCCCGGGATCCAGCCCTCGCTGCCCGCCGGAGCTCACAACCCCACCACGGAGCCACTAAGCCCCACCTCACCGTCGCCCGCCGCCCGCCGCAAAACAACGTCCGCTACTCCACGATGGAGCCGCCGAGCACTGCCCGCCGACGCAGCGCGCACCACATCGAGGGACAACGAGGGCGGAGAAGCTAGATCTGGCCAAGCCCGACCAGGATCCGGCCTCTCCCCGCGCTGACGCCGCTCCCACAGCCCTGCATCTCGCCCGTGCTCATGGCGATGCAGACAGCGCGTGCAACTCCGAGGAGAGGGGAGAAATAGCCCCGCCGCCACCTTGCTTGGGGCACGCTCAAACTTCACCAGTGGCCCCTCCTGTGGCGGCGAAGCGAGGAACCGAGGGCCTGGCGGTGGCGGCGCTAGGTTTCTTGGGCCAGGGTTGGAGGAGATCATACCAATGGCCATACTCATGTTCTTTTTCTTTTTCAGGCACAGATCGTGTTCCTTGATGAAAACTTGAAAAGGCCCGGGCTTTTCCCATACGTACAGATACAAGTTCGACCGAGAATTTAATCGCGAAAACAACACGCGAAGTGATGGAACATCATCTTCCCGCCAAACAATGCATACTGGACGTTTTTTTCTTTTCGAAAAGGAGGTTAATTATCCCCCAGCCTCTACATAAAAAAAATGCATGCGATCATCTTATTAAAAAGTAAATAGTCCAATAAAGTCATCAGGTCTCGAATTACAAAAACGCTCACAAAGAGCTAACTGCAAGAAAACGGAATAGCCACAACCGGCGGAAAAAGAAAGATAGAAAACTAAACACCTATCTTATTACATGACCGTCATCTAAACCGGTTGAAAATAGTCCGTGGTACCGTCTCCCAATGGATAGACCCAGTAACCATACGCTCCCTGGCATCCGTCGGAGTGAGTAACGACCACATACGAAACAGTGTAGTGGCCCGAAAAATAACCTGCAAGAAATGAATATGTGTTGTTCTATTAAAACCAAGTCGTTCCTGCAATTCTATGTAGCCCATAATAAAGCATACACTCCTACACGAGTCAGCTTTCCATTTTTTTTATTGTACTCCATCCAGCCACGTCATGAATAACGTGTGGATGGTATTTGGAGGAGTAATGTTAAAAGCTATGTGCACAAACTGCCATACATTTTTTGCCATTGAGCAATCGAGAAAGCGGTGTTTGACAATCTCATCATGATCACAGAAACTACATCTTCGCGATCCTGTCCAGTCACGCTTAGCCTAATTGTCCTTAGTTAGAATGACTTTCTTCTGAACAAACCACATAAACACTTTAATTTTTAAGGGCACTTTGACTTTCCAGATATGCAAAGATCGAGAGATAATGCCAGAATTAGTAACACCCACATACATGCATTTTACCGAAAATACTCCATTCTGAGTAAGTTTCCAGTGCAACTGGTCTAGCTATTGAGAGAGAGATGGACATCCATCAATCTTCTCACAAGATGGAGCCAAGCTTCCCAACGGTTTCCCGCTAAAGTCCTGCTGAATTGAATATTGAGGGGAGTGAACTGTAGTAGTGTTGCAACGTAAGCATCTCTACATTGAACAATATTATATAGAAAAGGATATTGGATAGTTAGAGGCGTCTTCCCTAACCATGTATCTTCCCAGAATCTCGTGGAAGTACCATTACCAATAATGAATTTTGCCCTATGGAAGAATGTTGATTTAACCCTCTTTAGTCCTTTTCAAAACGGTGAGTCGGTTGGTCTGACCGTCACCTGAGACAAGGTTTTAGAATGAAGGTACTTATTACGCAGAATCTGGGACCAAGTGGCATCGGTCTCTACAGATAGCTTGTACAACCATTTGCTGAGAAGACATATGTTCTTCACCTCTAAATTTTCAATTCAAAGCCCACTTTGGTCTTTTGGCCTACAGATAACATCTCATTTAGCAAGTCTATAGTTCCTTTTTAACTCATCACTCTGCCAGAAGAAACGAGATCGATAAAAGTCCAACCTTTTTTTCGAACCCCGACCGGGACTTGGAAGAAAGACAAAAAGAACATTGGCATGCTCATCAGCACCAAATTAATAAGAATTAGTCGGCCTCCATATGACATTAGTTTACCCTTCCAGCAACTAAGATTCTTTTCAAATCGATCCTCAGTACACTTACATTCGTTGTTGGAAACCTTGCGATGGTGAATCGGTAAGCCCAGATATGCATACTGGACGTACTCTTAACAAGAAAATTAAGCAAGAACAACAAATCTGGATGAATCAATTAGCTTGATCCTTGGAATGTCGTAGCAGCGCGGTGGAGGACGACTCGGAGGAAGCAGTGGTGTTGCCGGTGCAGACCGAAGAAGAGCGAACACAACCGGAGCCGGAGCTGTCAACGGAGAAAGACCCGTACGGGACGGACGATGCAAGACTCGGCGCAGCCCTGTACATGTGCTGCGGGAGCGCCGGCAGCCTCGCCTCGTCGGACTGCAGGACGTGCATGGCCTGCGCCACGGACGGCCGCTCGCTCTGGTCCGGCTGCGCGCACCAGAGCCCGACGACCAGCACCCGCTCCATCCACCGCTCGTCCGCCTCGTCGCCCCTCAGCCGCTCGTCCGCCGCGTCAAGGATCGCGTCCCTCCCGTACAGGCCCCACACCCAGCTGAGCAGCGTGAAGGACCTCTCCGCCGTCTCGATCACCGGCCGCCGGCCGGAAGCGACCTCCAGGAGGACGACGCCGAAGCTGTACACGTCGGACTCGGTACTGGGCCGGCGTGTGTTGACGAACTCCGGGTCGATGTAGCCGACGGTGCCGAGCACGGCCTTGGTGGTCTGCGTTAACCCGGCGCCATGGTCGATGAGCCGGGCCAAGCCGAAGTCCCCGAGCTTGGTGTTGAGGGACGAGTCAAGCATGATGTTGCTGGGCTTGATGTCGCCGTGCACGATGCACTGCTCCCACTCCCCGTGGAGGTAGCGCAGCGCCGATCCCAAGCCGACGATGATGTTGTACCTCTGTGGCCATGTCAGATACGTGCCGTCCTTGCTGTAGAGGTGCCTGTCCAGGCTGCTCTCGGCAACGAGCTCGTAGACAAGGAGGAGCCCCTTACGGCTGTCGCACCAACCCAACAATTGGACAAGGTTGCGATGCTTGAGTCTGCTGATGATCCTCACCTCTGCCTCGAACTCCTTCCTCCCCCTGCGACGACGACTCTGCTGACAGCACCTTTACCGCCACCTCTCGACGGTCTTGGTCACCTCCGACGGCGCCTGCGAGTGTGAGTATGAGGTGACCCCGGTAAACGCTCCCGAAGCCGCCTCGCCCGAGCTTCTCCTCCTCCGCGAAGTTGTTTGTTGCGGCGACCAGCTCATGGTACACGTACCGTCTGGGGCCGCCGGCAGCCACACCTCTCTCGAGGTCAGCTCTGTCGTCACACTCTTCTTCGCTGTCCTCATTTGCTCTTCTTTTTTTGTGTCGCCTCCATCCCAGCACCACCGCGACACAGACCACCAAAAAAAGCAGAGGAACTAGTACGGATACAAGGATTGGTACCAACGTTTTGTGGTTTTTGCTGCTGGTGCTTGGAAAACTTGGAATCGGAAGAGGTTGAGCAGGTGGAGCTGCTTCCTTCTTTGATTCAAGCTGCAAAGTGGAACTGAATGACCATGACAGTATCTGGTGCAACTCGGCGATGTCGCCGGTCGCCGCAGAGAAGCCCACGGCGACCTCCTCCGGTAAGTATCTTCTCAGATCGACGGTTGCAATGAGCTGGTACAAGACATCGTCGATGAGGAGGTCAAGGGCCAGCATCTTGGAGTCATTCTGGTACTTGATGGTGGCTTCCATAACATGGAGCGACGTGAGGTTCTTGCCCGGTCTCGTCGTTCTCGTGGACGCCGTGGAGTTGACAGAGTTGATGTCGATGCCGACATGGTTCCCGTTGATATCTCCATATCGCGTGTTGAAGAAAGTGTCGAACTCGACGGCCACGATTCGACCGTCGCCTGTCCCGTTAGTGTTGGTGAGGAGGAGGCCGAGGCTGCCGCCGTAGCTGTCCCGCGGGATCACCGAAGGGAAATGGCCGAGGAAGAAGGCCATCCCATCGCCTGTCAGCGGCAGGCTGTCCTTGTCCGGAGTGATTTGGAAGGCGAAGGTGGTGGTGAAGCTAGCCATCTCGCTGGTGCTGTTGCTCCACAACGGCACTTTGTGCGCGTAGGACGCCCGGCCGACGCTGTTCTGAATACCCGTACTACGTGTGTTTTTCGTCAGCTCGAGCGTTGACGGACTGATGAATGCATCGCCGGCGACGGCGATGGATGAACCGGCGCTGGGGTCGGAGAAGTTGAGGTTGAAGGAGAGCGAGAAGGCGCAGCTCGGCGCGTAGTAGAGGTATAGCAACACCAGGAAGACTAGAGTGGTAGGACTAGGACGCCGGCGAGAGGCCATTGGTTGGGCTTGGTGTTTGGGAAGGAGGAAAGCTTGTGCAAGGGAGATGTGTAGCTCATCGACATTTCTAGTGAAGACCACAAGTGGAATATTGTCGCCGCACGCGGATTAGAGACCAAGTGGACAAGTTGAGTGGCCCGTGGGACCAGGAAGTTTGAAATGGTCTCATGGATCTCAGGATGGGACGACCTGACCCAAGCGAGTTCTTTGTGTCTTTTTTGTTTTTGCGCTGGACTAAAAAAAAAGCTAGTGCATTTGAATTAGACGTTCGACTTGTCTCCATCATGTAGCAACACAAGTAGTGGCTCAAAATGAATAAACAACTGCTACAAGTGGGACACGGGCAGCAACTTGAAAGGATGGCACAATGATTGATACTACTGGTTCGTGTTTGGTAGACTGCAGGCTGTGTGGATACAAGAAAACCATGATTAGTTGCACCATGATTAGTTGCATGCATGGAGGTCTGGCTCGCACTTGCACGAAGTTTAAGTCAATCTAGAACCTGGCTTGCTAGAAACGCTCAAATTGATTGTTTTCGATGAGTCAATCTCAGTCTGACACAGAAATGGGGCACGGCGTTTGCGTCGGTGCAGGCGAAATCTTGGCGGAGATGATGGGAGACAAAAATCCCCTGATGCCAGTGGCGGAGCCATGATTTCTGACATGGGTGTGCCGAGTAAAAAAGATTGATACATAACAATGTAAGAAGTAAAAATGTTTTAATAATAACAACAAGACTATAATTTTTTTCTTTGTAGCAATTGTGTCCCCTCCTCGCAGATAACAACAACAACAGTGTCTCCAATAATTCAGTTACATTGCAACAAGGAGAATCATAATATAACTCTACGATCACCCTTTTGGAAGCGAGAAATGATGGTGTCTTCCTTTACTTGCACGAAGAATTTACGCTCAAGAAAAGTAACCAAGCAATCATTTAAATAATGTCCCCGCATTTTGGCTCTTAACTTATTCTTCACATAATTCATCCAACAGAAGACCCTCTCAACACTACCAGCAGCCGCAGGGAGAATTAACACCAAGTTGACAAGCTTGTACACAATGGCATATGATATGTTCTTCTTTGTCTCAACAAGCGATATGGCAGAAAGTTGAGCAATATTCACCTTTCTAAATATTTCATCTCTACGAATATCAGCAATAAACATTGACAATTGATAAGGAAGTTTCAATATGTATGTCTCTGAGAAATCCTTAGGATAAAAGGGGGCAAGCTTGACCAACTTCTCTTGATCATAAGCGCCAATGAATCAAAATGATTGAATAATGCCATACAAATAGGTAATTTTGTGTTTACCTCATCAAACCTATTGTTGAGCTCCTGAAGTTGCCTATCAATGAGACCTTCAGAATGTATCACAAAAAGTCTAAGGTAACTGTAGACAAAGTTCACCTTAAGACTATAAACAGGAGTTCCAAATCGGCGTTAAAATCACCAATGATGAGCATACAACCTCTTTCACTAGAGAAGATTGGAATAACTTTATCAAACTTTATGATATTCGAGATGGTGTTGAGATTTCATTCCCTCTGTTTTGTTCTAAAATCCATGTGCTAGTTCCCAATGATACTGTCATTGTTCCATGTATGATATAACTACATTTTAGTATGCTTTGTCTTAAGATGGTACAACTACTAATTTTATACTCGTTGCTAACTCTACTCAAACTCCATTCTAGTTTATTTCAAGCTCCCTCAGACAAGCAAAACTATTGTCAGGAATATCCATACTACCAATGGGACAACAACAAACTGGAAGGCTATTGGTCAAGCAATATTGTTTATTACGATTATTTGTTATGTTCAGAAAATTCACCATACTGGACCAAGTGATCATTTATATGTCCCACAAATAGACACTTGGACCAAGTCCAACATTAAAACAAACTGTTGGTAATCATTATAATCACCATTCCATTTCTAATATATTTACACACAATACATATACTTGTTATTTACTAATGATTTGATTGTGCCACCAGAAACTACCCCATCTGCAATGAAAGATGAACGTGCTGAAACGTGCCTTATTTTTCATCCCAACATAATTTTCGCTTGTACGTACACCCCTACTATGGATCAACATTTCATCATTAATGGCTGGCCCGGTCAACTGAAGCAGACGTGTTTCAAAATTTGTGAGAAGGTCTTGTTCATCATGCACCATGGTCCTCGTGGAGTTTTCCTATTCGTCCTCCGCATTTGTGATTCAACTTAGCTTTGTTTTGACTTATTCTCATTGTACTTTATCCCCTTGCATGCAACTTCTACTCTTAATGTGCACCTGAAATGTTACTTTAGAGTCTTTCGTGATTCTTTTTATTTATATTTGTTGTTCTGCACTTATTTTGTACTATTTCTTTTAAGTAAGTATGTATCCCCATGTTGTCATTGTTTTCCTCAAGTGAACTTATACTTACATTTATTTCCATCATTCTGCCCAAGCCTTATACTATCCTAATATATTCTTCAAAAACCATTTGTAAACATATGAATTTCTATTGTCGCCTGACAGAAATCATTATGAAGTACTATTACACGAAAGCCAATCATAAAATTGTTTCCACGAAGATATGTCTTCTTATCTGTTCAAATTCTATACTCTTTATATCTTCAAATTAATGTTACTGTTTTTATTTAGGTTTACATTTTTTGTCAGAATTTACCATTTTTGTATTTTATGTCCAAGATTTTTATATGTTACATCACTCATATGGTTTGGTATTTAGAGTTTAGCTTCAGCTTTAATGTTTAGTACTAGAGTATAAGGGTTTAGGATTTAGGTTTTAAAGTTTATGCTTTAGGACTTTCTCCTTCTTGCCTATATTATCAATTGAGCTAGTTCAGAGTTTAGGTTTAGTCTTTAGTGTTTAGGGTTTGGTTTATTAATCTATTTTATCTACCGGTTGTACTTTAGGGTTTATGGTTTAAGGTGTAGAGTGTAGGGTTTATCCTTTATTGTCACTGGTTTAGAGTTGTGTTTATGAGCTTATGTTTAGTGTTAGGGTTTGTATTTCTTGATATGTATTTATTATGTAATCACTGCGCTTTCCATTTGAAATAAACTGTACAAATTTTGTTGCGTAATCATTTCTCTACATTCTTCTAAATGAAACCATTGTTGTTTCGAAACTTTTCACCTTCAAGTCAATTTGTCAATTAATCAGTATAATTACTGCTCGCCTTTGTCGAAATATTACTACATATGCTCTTTAATCTATAAATATATGTAATTTTCAACAGTCATGTTTCACTAAGTTTTTATGCAATTCATGTCTATAAGATTTAGTTTCTGTCCTAGTAACCTAAATCTACTCTTTCTACACAAATAAATATACTGCCACTGTTTGTCTTCACACTATACTATTCCGGATAATAATCCTGAAATATATAGAACCTAAATATCTGGAACAGTACTCCAGGAGTAGATTCAAGTAATATTATTGTCTATACAAAAGACGAGCACAACAACACAAACTTAAAGACATAAACATGATTAATAGGATTCAAGTATTATTAGACATAAACTTAAAGACATAAGTATGAAGTTAAAGTAATAAATGAATAAAAATGAGTATTACTTTAAGTTTAAGTTTCATTATTGGTAAATTGCCAATGAACCATCAGAAAATAAAGTTTCAATGAATGTTACTTCTCTAAACACATTTTGCGCTTGCTCTGGTCCGGCTGCGCGCACCAGAGCCCCACGACCAGCACGCGCTACATCCACCGCTCGTCCGCCTCGTCACCGCTCAGCTGCTCGTCCGCTGCGTCAAGGATCGCGTCCCTCCCTTACAGGCCCCACACCCAACTGAGCAACGTGAAGGACCTCTCTGCCGTCTCGATCACTGGACGACGGCCGGACGCGACCTCCAGGAGGACGACACCGGAGTTGTACACGTCAGACTCGGTGCTGGGCCGGCGCTTGTTCATGAATTCTGGGTCGATGTGGTCGACAGTGCCGAGCACGACCTTCATGGTTTGTGTTAACCCGGCGCCGTGGTTGATGAGTCGGGCCAAGCCAAAGTCCCCGAGCTCGGCGCTGAGTGACGAGTTGAGCATGATGTTGCTAGGCTTATGTCGCCGTGGACGATGCACTTCTCCCACTCCTCGTGGAGGTAGCGCCGCGCCGATCCCAGGCCTAGGATTGTGTTGTACTCCCTCCGTTTGTTTTTATAAGACGTTTCAGACAGCTTGCTTTGTACTGTTTTGAACAGTGTCTGAATGTCTAAAACGTCTTATAAAAATGAACAGAGGTAGTACCTCTGTGGCCATGTGAGATAACTGTTGTCCTTGCTGTAGAGGTGCCTGTCTAGGCTGCTCTCGGCGACAAGCTCATAGACAAGCAGAACCCCTTGCAGCTGTCGCACCGACCCAGCAACTAAACAAGGTTGCGATGCTTCAGTATGATGATGATCCTCACGGCGGTCTTGGTCTCCATTGACGGCCGATGCAAGTGTGAGTGTGAGGTAACCACGGTAAACGCACCCGAAGCCGCCTCAGCCGAGCTTCTCTTCCTCTGCAAAGTTGCTTGTCGCGGCGACCAGCCCGTGGTACATGTATCGTTTGGGGCCTCCAGCAGCATCACCTCTCTCGAGGTCAGCTCTGTTGTCACACTCTTCTTTGCTATCCTCATTTGCTCTTCTTTCCTTGTGTCGCCGCCAACCCAGTACCACGGCCGCACAGAGCAACGGAAAAAGCAGAGGAACTAGGATAGATAGTAGGATTGGTACTAACTTTTTGTGGTTGTTATTGCTGGTTGGAATTGTAAGGTTTAGCGGGTGGAGATCCTTCCTTCTTTGTTTCAAGCATGGAACTGAATGACCATGAGAGTATCTGATGCAGCTCGGCCACTTCGCTAGTCGTCGCGGAAAATCCGATGGCAACCTCCTCTGGTAAGTATCTGCTAAGATCCACGGTCGCGTTTACCTGATACAAGACATCATCAATGAGGAGATCAATACCGAGCATCTTGG